TATCAATTAGACTTATTTTGTTCTTTAGTCATGCTGAATTAAAAGTAATTTTACAAATTAATGGTCCTCATAAGAAGCAGCAGCTTCAATGGCAACTAAGTACAGGCCCGTGTAGGGGCGTGGCTCCAATGCTAAATATGTAGAGGATCCTACCCCAGAGTGAAGTTTTGCCGGTACTGACGCCGTGATGGGAGCACTACAGCAAGCATTTAAATTAAGTTTAATGGAAGTCTCGGACTAAGTCTTCTTGTAGAAAAGAATTGAGTGGTTTAAAAATCCAGTGCAATTATAATTACTTTCATGAAAAAGACCTGGAAGGCATAACAACAGGAAAGCAAAAGGCCGTCAAGAATAATATGGATAGCTCCTCAGCCTCAGCTCCTCATCCTTGATCCTGTGCTTTGATCTCGTCATCCTCCTGACACTGTTCATCTTTTCCTCCTAGTTTTTTAGGACCAAGTTGGATGCTAGTTTTACCCTGGGTTGGGCCGATGAGTTCGCCGAAGGAGTATATTGGGTCTGTCATTGGTGCCACCATGTTTATTACTGAGCCTGACCCCGATTCCTTGTTCAGATACACCACATTACTGTAATATTCATAGAGGCTTTTGGCAGCTGTCCCAGGAACGTTTGATTTGACAGTCGTTGAGCGACAAATTTGAAAACAAAGCAAATACAGCTAAATATAGTTTAAAAGCTAATTATTCCTTCCAAATATGCCACACTCTACGTGCTTTATGTTACATGTGGTCCCACTTTAAAAATTAAATCCCCTTCTCATTAGTTTTGTCTACTCTTTGGATCATAAAAAATTCGAAATCAGCCCTTATGAGATTTTGAATATATATGAATATTTTTTTTCTTCATATTTTATTTACAATCTGTCTTGTGACAATAAGTAAATTTTATAACTAATATTTGCATAACAGGAATAGTAGATTTCCAGTGAAACCTACTACTAAATATATTTTATCCTTTACATATGTTTACCTATCAGGAAGATCAAGAATGTGAAGTCTTTTGAGTCTTCTTACTGTTAGGCTATTGTCTACTAGACCTAGGGCTAAATTATTTTCGTGATTGTGAAGACTGTCTGTATATTTCTTACTATATTTTTTAATTTCTTATCTTATAGTTGGAATATTTAGATCCTTGTGAATGTTTGCATTTGATTCATAAAATGGAGCGTTAACAGTTTGACGCAATGCTTTTGATTGGTAGCGCTGCAGAATTTTGATGTTTGAATTTCTAGCTGTACCCCAGAGCTGTATAGCGTAGGTCCAAACAGGCTTCAAAATAGCTTTGTAGAGGAGAACTTTGTTTTCCATAGTGGCTAATGATTTTCGACTTAGCAACCAGGACATTTTTAGTGTTTTCAGTCTGAGCTGTTGACTTTTTGCTTTAATATGGTGTTTCCATGTTAATCTGCGAAGTGCATGCCAAGATGCTTCACACAGGCATCTTTTGGAATTGCTTAGCCGTTCAGTGTGACATTTTGGCAGTTTCTTGGCCTTAGTGCAAATGTTATTTGGACAGATTTCGAGGAGTTGATTTTAATTTTCCAGCGAAGAAACCAGGCTTCAATCAGATTGAGCTCACATTGCAATAGGTGAGATGCTTCATCTCTAGATGAGCTTGTTGCCAGAATGGCTGCATCGTCAGCGTATGTTGCAACGGTGCAGTGGTTGGTTACTGGCATATCTGCCGTATATAAAGTGTAAAGGACTGGTTCCAGTACACTTCCTTGAGGAACGCCTGCGTTTATGGGAAGTAGTGATGACGCGTCACTTCTCTGCTGAACGTAGAAGCATTTTTTAGACAAATAGGATCTCAGTATATTCTTGCCCCAATATGTCCCCAATTGTTACTATTTAATATAAACCGCCTACCTCTACCTTAGAGAAAAATCATTAGAGGAACTAAAATTCCTTGTCATTTAATTCATTTAAATTTAGTGCGGATAAATTCTGACGCAATATGTGCTTTTGCGGTTGTACAACTGCCAAAATAGTTGGTAAATGCTCAATTTCAAATTTGCAACTGCCAATTCGACAGTCTTTGCTTACGTTTTCATGAGCCACAGCTGATCGATCAGCTGTTCGGATGCGGATGCGCTTTAACGCAGCTCTGTGGGAACACGAGTTTCACTTTTTTTTAAATCCCAACCGTTCCTCACAAATGCGCTGAGTGGGAAGACAGTATAAGAAGAAGAAACTATCGCCCAACTATCGCCAATAGAAGGGCGTAAAATTTAGATGCACAACGGATGCGGTAAAAAAAGAGAAATTTCGGAGCGGCAAAACCATCTGTTCAACGGACGGGGGATGCAGATGCAAGCTCTATGGGAATATTGGAAAATTAGGAACAATAAAATGTTTTCGGTGGCGTGGTTCGTGGGTTGCAAAACTAATTTATAATAATTGTTTTCGTACTACATAGAATTTTTAGAAAAATTTATACATTTTTATGGATTAAAGGGTAAAAACATAAATTTAAATGTTTTCGCATACATTACTGCGTGAATACTTCTGCGAGGAATTAATAAATTCATAGTTATTCGCTGCGAAATGCAGCCTTATTGTTTACCTTTTTCGATCATTGAAGTCGGATTACAACAAAAGTCGGAGCAAAATAACATATATAGTTGGCTCTTTCAAGATTCTAATGAAGTGGTTAATGAATGAAAACTGCATTACTGTATCATTAGGGCATAAATAGTTGTGAGGTTGACGATGAGGACGAACAAGATGGGACAGATGATTTGGATGAAGATCAGTTCTATCGAAGAAATGTCCAGCACGCAACCTGCAACTCGCTGTAAAAGACTTTTAACAACACCTCGATTCAGGGGATTTTATTGTAAAGGGTATATAAATTAATTTTTATCTATAAAAGTATAATTATTATAATTAAGCTATTTTGTATTTTTCTGGGGTGTAGGTATTTGATAACTGATGAGTCTTTGCCACAACCTGTATTAGATGTTAAGCAAGTTTCAAAAATTTTAGAAACTCTGCAAAAGACGTCTTTAAAGTTCCGTAAAACTTACAGGAAATTATTGGTTTGACTTCAAACAGGCTTTTTAGTACCTTGGAACCAGCTTATCTTGCCACAGTAAAGCTGCAAAGCACTCAAATGTTTATAGCTGACTTCTATAAGCTATGGCTGGAGCTTCAGCTCACTGTTTACGTAATGAACGCTGATGAAAGTCAAGTTTTAATTCAGTACATCCGTGAAAGGGAAAAATCAAAAATCGTTTTTATTTTAAATATATATACATATTTTTTTTCGAACAGAAAGACGGACACACATGTACATTCTCGATTGACCCTTAGCTGGAATACCCTTGTAGCTATGGCTAAAAGTTATTAAAATGGGTTAAATATGTATTTACATATGCACACAAATGTGTATGTATGTGTATAATTGGCCGAACGATTTTTGATCAAATTTATATTGTGAAATTTTCTGAGGGTGTACGCAGAGATATGCGACTGAGTGTCAGAGGTTCAAGATAACATCTGTATGTACATTTAGCCTTCGATTATTAGCCACCGAAACCGACAAAGAAAATGTATAAACGTACATATATACCCATTGACTTCATCACCCGAATGTCACCAGCCAAAGTCCAACGCACGGTGCGTCACACAGCAAAGGCGATTATTATCGAAACAATATAAAAGTTCGTCAAGTCGTGCAAGTAGCCAGTGCCGATCACATTTAGATTTGGCAAGCTTTCTTTCTTTGGCTACTGGGCCGATACCGTCCCATCTTATCAGAGCAGCTGATTGTGGCGAATTGTTAGGGTGTTGACTCGATTTAGCAATGCTAACGATCGTCCACGTAGTGACGATAAGACTGTGTGCAAACTACTATGTTGTGTGACTATCATATACATACATACCTAAATTAAGTCGGTGCAATACGGGCCACTTTTCAAAAATTTATTATGGCGAAACGGCTAAAGTTTGGTTAATAAATTAAAAACCATATAATAACACAACATTTCAATAGTTTTTGGTAAATTTTGTATTGAAAAATATTTAGAGGTAGAGGAGTTATAGGGAATCTCCCGCGTCGCCTCCAAAAAAAAGTTGGTTTGCGGTGTACATCCTAACTGTCCACTAAATCATTCGATCTACAAAAATTATACCTCATTCGGTAAAGGATAAGTGTCCCGTAGTATTCACGAAGCGTTTTCATTTTTAAAAATTTTCCCCAATTTTTTATCAAAATTTGAAGTCAAAACCCCAATTTTTAATTTAAAAAATTAGTTACTTTGTTAAATAAAAAATATATAATATATTAAAATTTAACATTTAAAAAAGCTCGACGTGAGTAGAAGAAGTTATGTTCCAAATTTCAAACCGATTGGATCAGTAGATTTTGAGTTATCGTGTACACCGATTTTCAAAATGGCACTTTTCAGGAAAGCGCTTTAAACTTTGTGATTCTCATGCATTGAACACCAGACGACCTTCGTTCAACTCTGCATAACTTCGTCAATTTTCCTATGATCGATGTAAAATTTGAACACAATATTCTTAAGATATTGAGCCTTTAAAATAAAAAAAAAAAATTTTACGAAAAAAAAAATTAAATAATGAACAATAATAAACTATATCAAATACGATTAAAACAGCAAGAACTTAGAATACATACATTCGAAATATTGGACAATTTGAAAAAAATTAGGTTTTGTATAAACCTGCATTTTGCCGCGTAGAGTATTATAACTTATACTTATATATATTCTAAGTGAATTGGTTTTTTAATGAAACAATATTAAATGTCTTTTTTGAACATTTTTCCTTCTCGGAGCGTAAACGTCGGCTTCAGTATAAATGCACGTAGTGTATGTTATTGGTTATATACCAATCGTGTTCAACATTTTCTTTTGGCAAATTTCTATATAAAGCAGTACAATCGAAGCAAGCACCAGTTTTCTTGACAAAAATGTGAAGTAACTTATGTACATATATTTTATATAAACTTACCGTCAGCTTGTGACCAGCTACCAATTTCGTCAGTCCTCCGAGCAGAAATATTATGAAAAACAGTGGCAGTAACTCCGATACATTCGAGTTGCAGATGTACTTGCTTGCAAACATTTTGTGGGCAATCTTTTTAATAACTATTAATTTTAATGGACAGGCAGTGGAAACGTACTACATAATGGTCATTAAGACACTAATACAAGTTTATGCTTCGTGTACTTGATTCCGGCAAAGATTACCGAAGCCTTTGGCCACTGCTCTTTGCCTTTTTCGTTAGCCTTTCGATTTGATACTAAACATTGTTTGGCGTTTTTCTATTGTTTTTATTGTCAGTATCTTGGTTGTTTAGTAGTTAGTTGTACACTGCTTGTTTTGATTTTAATTGTTTTGATTACAATTTATTTTCTTTATATTTCTTAATCGCACTTTCCCACTGATAAGTTGGACTCTCCACGCTATCGGTGGGATGGAGTCCATCCATGCAAATAAACTGATACTTAATCAGCTTGAGATTGGATTATATGTACATATGTAATAATAATCTGGTAATTGTTTATAAATAATTATGCGTAGTATGTATTTATGTCCATACCAGTAAGTAGGCCTTGCCTCTAGGCAATCTGATCTGCAAATAAATCGTTTGTAAGAGTCAAGCGCGCGAATTATGTTTGTATAAATGTATGTCCGGCAGTCTACATGCATACATATGTGGACGTGGAGTTGACCAAGGCATCCAAAGTATTGAAATCATGTCAGTTTGTTTAAATTCATTCGGCATTTATATTCGATCTACATATAATTTGGTCATTTGTTTTAACCCACTTGCCTGTATATATGTGTATATGTGTATTTGACATTACGTAATATTATTCTACATTATTTATTTTCAAACCGGCTAGCGTCGATACGCTCTTGCTGTTTGCGCTTAATTCGCACAACTAAAACTAGCTTAGACTCGGGGTAGTGCTAGTAGCTAAATCATCGATTCGAAAAGCTTGCGAAGAGCGAAAAGCTTCTTATTGTGATCGTCGAAGATATTGTAAGCTTTACATGACAAAAAGAGTTCACCAAATCAATCTTTGTTGATTGTGGCGGCTTTCAAGGAAATTATTTTTTAACTGCAAAAATTATGCCTGCGAAAATGGAAAGGCGTTCCAGATCAAGAGAGTAAATAGCTGATATCGTGGTATAACATTAATTCATTTCATTTATAACAGGCCCAATGGAGGAAAAGTTTAAGGAAAACAAGAAAGGAAGCTAACTTCGGCACGCCGAAGTTTGTATATCCTTGCAGATTGGTTTTGATGTTTATATTATAGACTTAAATTCTGATAACACACACAAAACAGAGTTTTATTACATTTTACCTATACTTATTATGTTTACAAATTGACAGTTACACCTACCAATCGCTTCTATGGCAGCTATATCGGTTACACCGATCAAAGAAGGTAAACAATAAGAATACCGCCCTTTGAAATAGACAAATAATTTCCAATGATATTGCGCCAATAAATTAAGGTGTAACCTAAAATCGGTTAAGTAGTTTAGGAGTCCATGGCGGACAAACAACGTGACACGTGATTTATTTATTTGTGTCGTAGTTCTCAGAAGGGTTGAATTGGACGAACGCTAAAGATATTTGGCACTCACTTTTAGTTGTCGCTGAGTTACTCAGCTGCGACATTGGTTCCTGGTAAGACATGGATTATGGGTATTCCTTCTCTTTTGAGAGAGTGAGATCTCTCCTGCTGTTCTCGTAGCGCTCTCTTAAAGAGCTCTCTAAAGAGCGAGTGAGGCCCGGTCGCTCAAGAGAGAGAGGGAGAGAGAATCGAAAAGCTATAGTCGTCACTTTGAATTTGGCTCTTGGCGTGATCGGAACTAAAGTGCTATCGAAATGGTAGACTCTGAAAATACACCTTCCCCGTTATCAGAAGTGCATTAGAAGCATAAAACCGTGCCTTGTTGGAACTACTAAAATCAATTAACCCACCGCGAGTGCCATTAGCGGAAACAAAATCGAATTCCATAACATTCCCGAAATTTGACCCGGATAGTGTTGACAGTTGCATTAATTTTTGCTGAAAACACTTGCACTTGTTATGGATCTCAGTAAAGCTATGCAAGGAAGTGCTTCTCAATTCTGCTTTACCAGGAATTGTTTGTGCAACGAATTGATGGTATCGAAACCCCGGCAGCGAGCGACCTCGATGAACATCTTCAATGGGCATCCAAATTCAGGAGAGAATTTACCCGAATATAGCAACCGCCTGGTGACGTCGCTCATGTCCAAATTCAAATTGAAAGAAATCATCGTTTTGACGCAGCTTCCTAACTTGGATGATCGGCTGTTAAAATCAAGGTTTACGGGCGCAGTACAAATCCGTAACCATCTGCAGCAACAATTAAATGCATATTCGTATTCAAAACGCAACAAATCCTTTGGAAACGAAGACGTAAGAAAGAAAATGAAGCTGCCATCTCTAGTGAAGTGTCATTACTATGGCCATAAGATTGCGGATTGTCACAAAAGGCGAACGGACGACCTCTACTCCACAATAACAACAACGCGCAGGTAACAACAGGACATGCTTCACATGTGGGGAGCTTGGGCATTATTCTTCGGAATGTCCACGGATTCGCCATAATCTTAAGGATGTCGAGATAAACAAACAATAAACTTGGTGGCCAGAGAACCAACTGGAGTTTTGAAACAGTTTGGTCTATTCCATTTTGTTTTGATTCAGGCGCTGAGTGTTCTCTTGAAAAGGAAAGAGTTGCAGCGAAGTTACAAGGGAAGCGTCAGTCTAGGACAGTGGTTTTGAGCAGTGTTTAAAAAACTGCAGTCGAATTAGCATAAGTCGCAATAGTTTTGCTTTCCACTACTTCAACTGCGAGCGATATTATAAAATGAAAAAAATCATTCTGCTTCTGCTTCTGAACAAATCAGAAGTCGCAGTCAAAGCATAGTCAAAAATCAAACAGCGACCAAAATCAAAAATCAGCAGCAGTTGCCGCTTTTCGTTTTCTTGCTTTTCGCTTTGCTGTTGCTTTCGTCGTAGACGTAAGTCGCTGCTGTGGCACGCGTCGACTTTCGGAAGTCGTCGGCAGCTACAGTCGCATAAGTCGCTGCATTCGACTTTTTGCTACTTTTGATTTTGGTAGCTGTTGCTTTCGATCAGCAGCGTAAGTCAAAATTAGCAAGAATATGCAGATCGTGGAGTCGCCTGTTGTTTTCGATCGTCGCGACATTTTTTTATGACCTATTAGTTTGATTAATTTTTTGGCAATTAATTATTTCGTACTTCTTGTACCTTTTTATTCATGTTTTTTATCTTATTTTTTAATCTTTACGAAAAATAACACAATAAATCAAAAATGGGAGTAATTGAATATCAATAAAAACAAAATTAATTAAAATAAAAACATAAAAAAAGTTTGAGTGTAAATAAACTTATTTATTTTCATTTTCAAATAGTGGCAAGGTGTCAATGGCCACATCCAAAAAGCTGGGATTTAACTTAACCACCAATATGTTCTCAAGAACATCCTGGCTTAAACGATTGCGGTAGTCGGTAAGCACCAGTCTCAGAGTGGAGAATGCTCGTTCAATCGAAACCTGTTATTAAATAAATAAATAAATAACAAAACTTCAATTATTTATGCCATTTTAATTTACCTGAGTTGGCGGTACAGCAAAGCAAACATTACTTATTACGTACAACTCCTGATCGGTATCCTGTTTACCTTTCCAATACGATACCATGTCTATATCAATCCTTTGATACGAAAGTTGAAGATTTTCAATTTTTGTATATACGTATATACTGTTCACTTCCGAATGAACGCCTTGCGATAAATATGCTTCTAACAACTCATCTTCTTCGTCAAAAATGTAATTGTTCATTTGATTAAAACTGGAATTCGGAGTTGAGCACATATGGCCAAGAGGGTTTAGATTATATAATCTGTCCCAAATAGATTTCAAATGATTTATAGCATCACTTTTTTGTTGCAATGACAATATATGTTGAAAGCGAGGATCCAGAAACAAGCAAGAAACTACGAATTTATTATATAACAATGTTTTTGTTCGTATTTCTATAGAATTCAAAATTTTATTTCCGATAGTTTTTGTTAAATCCTGAGTTGAATCCTTTACCATTTTTTCTGTTGAAATTTTAAGCTTTAGCCATTGGGCGTAAAAGTTACTGTAATGAAATTGCTCCTCTTGAAATTTTTTTATTGATTTTTGCAAGGGACTAAAAACATTGCAATACGTCTCAATAAAATCCCAAAACGAGGAATCCATGTCAAAATTATCCTCATCCGTTTTGTTTTTGACCGATTCAATTTTTCTTAACAAGTCCTTAGCTTCCAACAAGTTTTGTAGCATTGTGTAGGTAGATCCCCACTTGGTTGGACAATCTAGTTGTGGCATTTTCAATTTTTTGAGCTCAAAAGTTTCGCGATATCCATTCGATGCTTTTCTTATGTATTTTGTCAAATTTCGACAATTGAGTATGAACTTAAGTATGTCCGGTGATTTATTTACATCAATCGCAACCAGCTGTGCTGTATGTGCAGCACAACGACAAACTTGAATATTACCTATTAATACATAGGGCACTTTTTCCATGAACTCAATTTTTTGTATATAATCGTCGTTGGTGCACTCTTCGTCGTCCTCTTCATTGTTTTGTTCAGAAAGATATGATAAAATATTTGTAGTTTTAACCATATTGGCACCGTTGTCAGAAGTAATGGAAACAATTTGATTTAAATTTATATTATATCAGTTGAGGACTTTGATTACTTCGGCGGCAAGATTATTAGATCCACTTGATCCTGCACCATTTAATTCAATCATCCCCAGAATAATTGATTTTATTTGAGCAGCTCTTATGTATTGTGCACTTATTCCAAAAATATTTCTGGACATTCGGGTTGCACTATCTATTTTTAAGGACAATAATGTGCTCTTAAGTTCACTTGTTATGTGAGATCTTATATTATTTGCGACAACTTCGAGTGTTTTTTTGCAGTTTAATGCATTTAATTTCATTATTTTGCCATCCGCAGTCTTCAGGCCTTCGCATATTGGATCGAGAATATTCCTCATATTTGGTGAATTTAAGACATTAAAAGGGATGCTGTCTTCTGTTACCAGTCCTATATAGGATCTTATTAGTTGTTTTTTATTAACTTCTATTTTAGTTTTTTTTTTCTGATTGTTTTAATTAAGGAACTCGTGGATGACGTTTCAATATTTTCAAGATTTTGCACGTTTAAATTAATTTTGTGTTGTTTTATTAAGTGTGTTTTTAAATTCGAAAGTCTATTGTTTTAAAGAGAGTTATTGCATACATTGCATATTGCTAAACCCTCGTCTGCCTTATTTTCGAAATACTTCCTCACTTCACTTGGAGCCATGGCTAAATACGTGTGAGTCCCGCAGCAAACTAACTACAAGTAAAATCAAAAGAAGCAAAGCAGAGCGACGGCGGCTACGAGCGACTTCCACGATCTGCATATTCTTGCTAATTTTGACTTACGCTGCTGATCGAAACAAACAGCTACCAAAATCAAAAGTAGCAAAAAGTCGAATGCAGCGACTTATGCGACTGTAGCTGCCGACGACTTCCGAAAGTCGACGCGTGCCACAGCAGCGACTTACGTCTACGACGAAAGCAACAGCAAAGCGAAAAGCAAGAAAACGAAAAGCGGCAACTGCTGCTGATTTTTGATTTTGGTCGCTGTTTGATTTTTGACTATGCTTTGACTGCGACTTCTGATTTGCAGAATCAAAATAATGCGAAATGAAGCTTACCACAGTTTTCTAAACACTGGTTTTGAGGGGAATCGAATATGAAACCTTCTTAGCCGTATGACACTCTTATAGTGGGATGACACTGCCGCATTAATTAGAGACTTCATTAAAGATTTGACAGCGCTATAGCGTTTTACACAAGTGCGAGCAAGACGACTCTATGGCGCTCTAATGCATTAGAATAATGCATTAGCTACTTCATTGCCGCGGTAATCGATAGATCTACATATTATATACTAGATACTCGATAACAAAATACGGGTTTAATGAAGAAAATTGTAATTGAAAAATGTATTAGCCAGTTCATTGACAGTATGGTCTCACAATGAGAATTTTATTTTTATATCATTTCGCTTGTTTTTTGAACTGAAAATATATTAGAAAATTAGCAAAAATAATATGTTTTGCGGTAGCAAGGTTCTTGCGCTGTAAAATTAATTAAAATTATTTTTTTTGTAATAATTAAAAAAATTTTAAGCATTATAGGTTAAAAACATAAATTTAAAGGATTCTGCATTTATTTATGCAATAATACTTCGACGAGGAATTCAGAAATTTATAATAATACGCCGCGAAAGGCCGCCGTTTTTTTTGTTTACCTTTTACGGTCGGTGTGACCGTAGTCGTATTACCAAAATAATCCAAGCAAAATTCAAGCAAAATTACACAAAATTACACATATAGTTGACTCTTTCAAGGTTCTAATGAAGTAGCTAATTAATGAAAACTGCATTACTGTATCATATGGGCATAACTATTGCTCATTTTTTTGGAACTTTACCTTCAATCTTAGCTTAGATCCGTTGGGAATCGTAAGCTTCGATGTAAAGGCAAAAGCAAACCCTGAAAATCGGCAATAGTTCTTTTTGTTGTTTTTAACCAGTCGTTTGGCATGCAAGTCTCTCAGACTTGCCAGACGTCTCTCAGAAACGCCAGACCTGCGTCGTTGTTTTTGTAAATCTTCACGGTTCCCTGAACGCGAGCACCGACTGCAATATGCCCTGTTCCTATCTCAGTAGATGAAATTTTATTCATTCGAATACATATGTAGGGTAAGGTGGGGTAAAGCAGACAGTGTGGGTAAACCCGACCTCCCTCTGTTTTCCAAAATCGGAAGCACTACGCAAACTAATATTAGTGTTGTCGTGTAGAGCATCGAAAACAATGAAAATGGTGGTATGACAGCATTTTATTAGTCAACATTGAGATGGTCAAACGACAACAAGTTTGTTTTCACAATTTTGACTTTCATTTTTGTGCATAATTAACTGCAGGATATTTCTTTTTGTCAAAGTTATCGCATGAAAAAATAAGTGGATTTAGATTCTTTGAATAAAGTCCTACAAAGTGCATATAAGTTTGGTTCATTTTTTTTTCATAATTTCTTTTTTAATTGCGTTTTTATGAAAAATTACGTGGTGGGGCAAATCCGACCTCTAAATAGTGGGGTAAATCCTGCCGCAAAAAAAGCCAAAAAACAACTATCACACCAAAAACCATCAACATCGCAGCCAACCAGACGTTCAACTCGAACCAAAAAACGCCAGCAAGCTATTTGAGCAGCGAATCAGATGATACTGATTAATTATTTTGCTATTTTCAATTTTTTAATTCTATTATCTTTTATTACCATTATATAATATAACATTGATTGATTTATCATTGCAAAACCTATATTTAGGTTATATCTGTACTAAATCAACCAAAAACATAGGCGGTTTACCCCATCATTTTTGAACATAGCAAAAATGAACTTTTTCGTAAAACGCTTGTATCTCAAAACTTTTCAAAGGTATGAATAAAATGCTATGCATAGAAAGTTGCGCAGAAGTCTAACCTTTAATTTGGTATATATAACGACTTGATCCGATGTAAAATAAGCATGTTATAGCCAAAACCATTTACTAGGTCGGCTTTACCCCACCTTACCCTACATATATGCAACAAATATGAAATGAATGCTGAAACATTAAGAAATATATTATAACATATAACACTCTTATTTGTATCATTAACCCAATAGCGAATATGCATATATTGTTAGGGTACCTAGAGCGAAAAGTAGCAAAAGACCAAATATTCTTGCTGGCCCGAAATGAAATGGTCGCACACATGCACCCGTGTACGTGAATGCATGAACACGCATACATGTAAAGGCCTGACGCTAACAGCTGACAGCTAACATGGGACCGGTCGCTAACAGCTAAAATCTAACAGACGGTCTGTCGCTAGCAGCAAACAGTTAACATGGGACCGCTCGCTAAGAAATTTTTGTGTCCATTTTCGTTGTATGAAATGACCAGTCTATATGTTGTATGGTTAGTGCCATAAGCCAAGCTTTAAAGCTTTTACGTATGGAGGCGTGGGCTTTTTTGGGGCGAATCTCCCCTTTGGTTTAGTTTGTTTTTATTAGCATCGACCTATATTTGTTAGCATTCGTAATTGCAGACTTGAGGTCATAGCCGGCTTCGATTTTAGAAAAATCAAAGGCTCGGCTTTAGCTAAAAACAACAAAAAGAACTTGTCAATAGACAAGTAGCAGCTGTGGTGACGATCGTTTCGTTAGCGCTACCCAACTCATCAGACCACTTGCTAACTATTGCTAATATTCTTGGTACTTTAACTTCAATCTTAGCTTAGACCCGTTGGGAATCGTAAGCTTCGATGTAAAGGCAAAAGCAAACCCTGAAAATCGGTTTTTAACCTATAATGCTTAAAATTTTTTTAATTATTACCAAAAAAAAAAAATTTAATTAATTTTACAGCGCAAGAACCTTGCCACCGCAAAACATATTATTTTTCCTAATTTTCTAATATTTTTTTTGTTCAAAAACCAGCGAAATTATATAAAAATAAAATTCTCATTGTGATACAACACTGATTTCGGCCGTTAGTCCGAGCCTGACTTGGGACAGCGGTCTGGGAACAGGACTGGGGCTCTGAGAGGTCACACTTTGGGACCCCCATATAAGTATGCCCATTTAAACGCTATAACAAAGTCTGTATAATCATGCTGATAAATATCCAATAAAATTTAAGAAAAACTGTGATTCTAATAAAATACAGTGCCAAAACAAAATATTGAATTGTGGAAAGTTTTTATAATTCATTATTCATGCAATTTAATACTGTCTTCCCACACAGCGCATTTGTGAGGAACGTTTGGGATTTTAAAAAAAGGTGAATCTCGTGTTCCCACACACCATCAAAGCGCATTCACCATCCGAACAGCTGATCGATCAGCTGTGGCTCATGAAAACGTAAGCACAGACTGTCGAATTGGCAGTTGCAAATTTGAAATGGAGCATTTACCAACTATTTTGGTTGTTGTACAACAGCAAAAGGCACAGATTGCGTCAGAAAATATCCGCACTTAAAACTTAACATTAATTAGATGACGAGGAATTTGAGTTTCTCTAATGATGTTTCTCTAATGATTTTTCTTTAACAAAGAGCAAATTCTCCGTTGAGTGTGTATAGGTAGTATAGGCTTCCCAAATCTATAATTAAAGAAGAAGTAGGCGTTTTATATTAAATAGTAGCAATTGGGGACACTTTGGGGCAAGAATATACAAAAAAACAAAAACACCAACAACTATTATGGGCCTGCTTGTAGCTTTTAACGCCACATTTTAAATTCCATATCTAATTTGTTCCTCGCCAAGTGTGTATACACTTTCGTAGTGTTGGTCAAATTTTCACTGTTAATAGCAATATGACACTCTAATGCAGTTTTCATTAATTAGCTACTTCATTAGAACCTTGAAAGAGACAACTATATGTGTGATTTTGCTTGGATTTTGCTTGGATTATTTTGATAACACGACTGTAAAAGGTAAACAAAAAAAAACGCCCGTCATTCGCGGCGTATTACTATGAATTTCTGAATTCCTCGTCGAATTAATAAATGCAGAATCCTTTAAATTTATGTTTTTAACCTGCAGAGCTTAAAATTTGTTTAATTATTACAAAAAAAGAAAATTTAATTAATTTTACAGCGCAAGAACCTTGCCACCGCAAAACATATTATTCTCCTAATTTTCTAATATTTTTTCAGTTCAAAAAACCAGCGAAATTATATAAAAATAAAATTCTCATTGTGAGACCATACTGTCAATGAGCTGGCTAATACATTTTTCAATTACAATTTTCTTCATTAAACCCGTATTTGGTTAAGCCTAGTACTCTGACGAGAAAAATCCGCTGTATAAATTTAGACAGCGGCCAAACTCCATATAAAAACGGTGTCGAAAAAAGAAGAAGAAGAACATTTAGCCACGTCGTTTTTTCCGGTACTCTGACGACGAAAATGAAGCCTGCGAAAATTGAATGGCGTTGCCAGATCAAGATAGTAAACAGCTGATTTCGCGCTGTCTAAATAATTCATTTTATTTATTTAGACACCCCTAATGGAGGGAAAGTTGAAGGAAAAAGGTGGCATTGATAGGGGCTGTCAAGGGGAAGCCCATAATATGGAATTTAACCCACAAAGGACATTTTAATGCCATATTTATTAATATTTTAAATATTTTTTTTGAATATTTGTTTACAAACAGCTGTCCAATGTGACCAATGAAAATCCTTAAACGCCATAAAAAGTACACTTTCATGACATTTCAGGATT